AGGTACATAATTCACAAGAAAAGTACCTAGGCATAACATGATATAAGCATAATATTTCAACATTATAATAAATACACGAAAGAATACATACCAACCACGACATCGGGCGCTGCGCGGACCTCCTCCGCGGTCAACTGAAATGCTCTCCCACGTGCCCTCGGCGCCTCGGCCTTCACTGGCCCACTCTAGTAGCTCTGATGGCGGCAGGGGCAGATCCCTAAGGTGCTCCCTGAGCTGATCCCCACAACTGCGGACACTCCACCTTCTGGTGTCTGGTCTGGTTGCAGTGAAAACATACTGCAAACCCCTTGGGGCAGTCCTTGGCCATATGCCCCTCCTTGCCACATTTGTAGCAAGATCCCTCTCTACACACTCCATCATGACCCTTGCCGCACTTTCAACAAGTGCGGCCCTTCTGGCTCCCTGATTTGGGATCAGCGGGCTTGGCCCGCTTGGCTGCCGGCTGGAATTGTGCCGGTCACCGATCCCTCCCATGAGACTCAGCCTCCTCCCTAGCCTGGGTCTCCAGCTCGATCTGCCTCTTCCGGGCATTTGCCTAAAGCTCAGCAAATGTCCGGTATGAGGAGTTCGCCATGAACTCCCGAATGTACAGTCTCAAAATACTCAAATATCGACTCATACGGGCCTGCTCAGTGGACACGTGCTCAGGGCAGAACATTGCCCTCTTGTGAAACATCCTGGTAATCACCGTAACAGACTCAGTGCCCTGCTTGAGGGTCAGAAACTCCTGGGCCAAACGCTCCCTCTCCACCTGGGGAACGTACTCATCTCGGAACATGGCAGTGAACCTCTCCCAGGTCACTGCCGCAAGCTCAGCAGGCGAAAAGTGTGCTGTGACAAACTTCCACCAGTCCTTCGCTCCCAAGCAAAGCTGGTTCAGCGCGAACCGTACTCTCAAATTCTCTGGAGATGAGCAAGTGAAAAAACACCCCTCTATGTCATAAATCCATCTCATAGCCGCCACCGGGTCCTAGGTCCCATCAAAATCCGGTGGTTTCGTGTTGCTGAACTCCCGGAATAGCAACGCGTCACCACCCTGCGGCCTAGCAGCAGCAACAGCTGCAGTGGCTGCCGCAACCGCTGCCTCGGAAAGAGCGGCATAATGCTCGTCGAAGGTCTCAATCAGTGCGGTCTTAATAGATCCGAACATCTCTGGTATCTCTGCCCTGATGACCGCAGCCACCTCCTCATGAATGATCTGTCGGATCTCCTCATCACTAGCCCCGACACCCTCCGGCATATGACGTGTCCTCACCATGATCAACCTCTGAAATACAACATACGATAAATTAGAATCCGCTCGAGCATACTCAAACTCGACAACCCATCCCTCCTTGATCCTTTGTATTCCGAAGATTCTTACTTGGACCGTGCACCGCCCCGGTGCTTTCAGTAGTACGGGCCCAATACTACTGTCCACACCGTCTCAGTACACACCCCAAGTCCTCATCTTCGGATCCCAAATTCCAAGTACTCTATCACTCTCTAACAGATCTCTCATAAGCTCCTCACTGCTACTTATTCGCTCTCAAGCATCTCATAGCAGCTCACATCTCCCTAGGCTAAGGCATCACAAATTAGGGCACTCTAGTCCTAATAAGAATACCTAGCCTACTCTATCAAGATAATACATCAGATCAATTTCCATAAATATATAATAAGGATATTTTGGGAAATCACCGTTCGGGCGCTGACTGATTGTACACACGTTTCTTCTTTGAATTTCTCTAAAAATATTTTACTCTTAGAAAAGTTTAGTTTTCTTATGAAAATATTTTCCGAATCCTCAGTTTGAGTTCAAATACTCCCGAAGGTGTACCCGAATCCCTCAAACCAAGGCTCTGATACCAAATTGTAACACCGTAAATTTCAAAATAAAATTTTCAAATTTTTATAAATCATAATTCATTTAATATTCAGAAAACAATCACATTTAATTATCCAATTCAAGTAAATACAAAATCCCAAGATCTCAAATCATAACTCCCATGCGTGTGTACTGATCAAGCCGGCGCCTTCCCGCGATCGTCACTAGTACCTGAAACAAATAACATCAAACACTGTAAGCACAAAGCTTAGTGAGTTCCCCAAAATACCACATGTAACACATATTAGCCACTCGAGGCTATAACTCTGTGGGTCCGTGCACCCAAACTCTGTGAACCCTCAGGTTCTAACTCTGTAAACATGCACAACATAAATCACATAGAAATAATGCAGTACAACACATAACATACATAGCATACAAATACTCTATCACATAACTCTGGTTACCTACTCAAGGTAAAGTATAGTGAGAAGACTCACCTCGCGTGTCTTGGTAAGTCGTGAATCCTGAAATCACTAGTGCTCGATCTCCCGAGCTATAGTCCTCCTAAATCACAATACATCTCTAATTAACACTTTCCCAACTAAGGTTGACTACTCCTTAACAAGTCAACTTAAGTCAACGCTGGTCAACGGTTAACGGTCAACTTTGATCGGACTCGGCGAGTGCACTATAGCGACTCGGCGAGTCTGAGCGTATACACTAATTTCCCTGAAATCCTCCCTTGACACGTCGAGTATTCTCCTAACTCGACGAGTTCCACCTGTCATGAGTTGTGGGCCCACCACGACTCAACTCGCCGAGTCTCAAGAACAACTCGGCGAGTCTAGCTTGACTCAGTCCACCTGTCCACTCTGACTTCCCCCTGACTCACTGAGTCAACCCTCCCTAACTCGGCAAGACCACTCGCTATGTGGTCGGACAATATTCATACTACTCGCCGAAGTCTGTTCTTCGGACTCGACGAGTCTGTTCCATGCAATGACTCAAACTTGCTCATAAGGTTAGATCCAGTCCATTAACCCATAGAACCAGTCCTTCCAAGTTTATTTAGCACGTAAAGTCACTATCTTGATGCACATACAATCTTTATATGACCATATATGATGTTTTTTGTCTCAAATACTACAACTCAAGGTCATAAACTCCATTGCTATACATAAAGCTTGATGAGTGAGGCTCTCTGGACCTCTATGGATCCAGATCCAGAGCCTCAACACAAGAAGGGAACTATTTTTGCATCAAATCAACCCAATAATGTCCATAAGAAACCCTAAGTCCCATTATACTTCACAAAACAAAAGATAAGCCGAAATCATACCTCTAGATCGATGATCTAAGCTTCAAATCCACATAATAGCAACCTCCTTTGCTTCCTCTTGCCTAGAATCTCCTCCTTCTTTGCTAAATGACACACACAAGGTCAAGAAATGCCTCCTTTCTCTCTCAAAACGTTCAAGCACTCAAGGGTTTCTCTCTAAGGGTTGGGTGAGCAAAAATGATGGCCATAAGGCCCTTTAAATAGGTCTCAAACCCCGGAAATTAGGGTTTCACCACACAACGTGGACTCGCCGAGTCCGGACGCGAACCCGTGCCCAAAACCGCGATCCTACTCGGCGAGTTTGGGCTCCAAGTCGCCGAGTCTACTCACAATTTCCAAAAATAACCAAAAATAAATACCTGGAAATTCCGGGCTGTTACACAATGTTACATTACAAAAACAGTGTTCAAAATACTTACTATAACTCTCCACTACGAATTACCATGTTTTGGAAACGATAAGTTGCAACTTTATTTGTACAATTTGTTGATTTTTCTTTTTCAATGACACAAATCAAAGACTTATTCAAAAACATAATCGATCTGATATCTCAAAACTAATTTCACAAGTTTCGTAGCTGAAAAACATCACTCAACCGTTATTGTTGCAACATGCAAAACAAACAACATGATTACTATAAGTGATGCACAAGTCATTAGAAACATGTGTTTTTTCTTTTTTTTTTTTTTTTTTTTTTTATTATTTAATTTTCATCATGACTTTTGATGTTTCCATTCAAATTAGACAACCGATAATCTTCTTTTAAACATTATAATAAAAATCAAGTTGTTGCACGAGATTCCTTATTTTCAACTCCATGAATTCATTTCGATATAATATATACAGAGCCTAAGATACTAAAATAGACACATGGACTCGTGATGCAACATGACACAATTGGTTTTCAAGGAAAGTTGAAGTTAAAAGTTATACTTCTTTCTTTCCAAATTAATTATCCACTTTTAATTTTTAAAGTTTTTTCATTCAACTTTAAACTTAAATATTTTTATTTGTAAATTAATTATCCACTTTTAATTTTTAAAGTTTTTTCATTCAACTTTAAACTTAAATATTTTTATTTGTGTTATATATTACTTGATAAAATTTATAAGAATGAAAAGATATTTAAAATAAAATTCATTCATATATTTTACATCAATTATTATTTATCAAAAACAAAAATATTTAAAATTAAAGTTAAAGATAAAGAATAAAGACTTTAAAACTCAAATGTGAACAATTAATTTGAGACGTGTGTAATATTAAATAACCCAGTATGTAAAACTCAACAAAGGATAATAATAAAAAGTTTAATTTGCACTTATTACTTTACAATGTATTAATATATGGTTATTACTTTTGTAATCTAAAAATATGCAAATTAAACATCTTTTTTACCGTATCCAATCGGACTAACTTATCTTAACCCAAATCATATCAACTATCAAATAACATTGAGTAACTCATCTTGACCCATATCATATCAACTATGAATTAACATTGACTAACTCATCTTAACCCATATCATATCAACTATCAAATAACATGAGTGTAACCGAAAAACAAATATAAAAGTGTTTGGTGGTTTTGTCAAATCATTCGGGTGGTATAAGACTATAAGTATGTAACATAATAATATTTATATGTATTTTAAGACGCAAATCTATTTATTTATTTATATATCAGCTACCCTAATCTATTAAATTTGCTGTCACTTATATAAATCCCTATTAAATTTGCTGTCACTTATATAAATCCCTATATATGCATGTTATTGCGCTATCACTTATTGTAAGCCATTAGTATAAAATCAAGAAACTAGCCCATATAATGACAGTTAAGCTTTTTGTTTGTATATTTTTCGGCCTTTTAATCTTCACAACTGACATTGCTTATGGTAGAAAGCTTGTTGGAAAAGAAAAAAAATCCCTTGCAGATGAGGTTACAAGTAAGATTGGTTGTTCTCCGGGAGACGTAAAATGTAAAGAAGGGCATGAGTATAATAGAAAAGAATCGCACAACAAATATAATGCAAAAAAGATTTGGGAAGGTATTAGAAAAAGCTACAGTGGTGATAATAGAGGAAGTATTATACAAGGAGAAGGGTGTGTGAATGGTGATCCTAATTGTAACAAGAACACAAGCCACGTCATCAAAAAAGGATGCCGAGACATGGAAAATAGCGAACCAATTGTTTGCTACGGAAACTGTAATTTTACTTATAACAGCAATAATAGAAACTCTGACAATGGTAGCGATAACAATCTTGGAAATGATAGTGGCAGCGGAAATGGTGGCGTCGATGGAACCATCAACCAAGACGGCAACCACACCACCAATGGTTCTGGCAGTAGCGACTCCGTCGCCGTTGCAATTGGAGCTCCACGTCAAGGCTGAAACTGATTATCTTCAATCGCAAATGAGAATTTTTAAATAAATCGGATCAAACATCTTGCTACACCCCTATCTACTTATATATTATAGACGTCATTTTATTAATAAATGGATGTATGATATCATATCTTCATACATTGCCACACGTATGTGTATTCTCTGTTATCAAACTCAAACTACGAAGTTTAGATAATAACTAACAAGACATAAATTTGTTGGATCACCAAAAGCATCTTTCTAAACAGTTTCAGTTATCCCTTAAAAACTTGTCAAGAATTATGCATTACTTACGGTTCAATTGTTTTCTCATATCATGATTCGGTTTAATTTAAAGAACATAGAATAATTAAAGCAATGGGCTTGGAGGTTATACTAGAAACATGACCTTCAGCGACGGATCTACAGAAAGCACAAATATTTTGGACAAACTAATTATAGATTATATTAGAGGTATTAACATATAGTTCACATATTTATCGACACTTCCACAGAATAATAAGAGTATAAGTCAATCTGAAACACAGTTTAGCAATGGATTGTAGACAGAAAAATACAAGTCTGAAACACTGTTAATAGCGAGCAAATAATATGATGATAACGACGGAATAGTCCCCAATCAATAAATTAATAGACCTTTTCTTGACAGTTATTTTGTCGCAATAAAAATATTCGGTCGCTATCATTGCTAACTTATATGACATGTATAAAGGGAATATTGGCTAGCGACAGACACATCTGTCACTGATGGTCATGTTTTCTAGTAGTGAGGAGAGTTCCATCTGGTGATGCTTTTGTAGTGCATTTTAATTTCTTATAAGTTTCCCCATGTTATTTTAACTATTTGGAGCCAATAGACGCCTAGAGCTGGGTACTCAAATGATGCAATAGTTTCTCAGTTAATTGATTCCCTTCGTTTGGTAGGTAATGCTCAAACTTCGATCATAAGTAGTAGCTTGTGTGCATATTACAGTTACCTTGTGTCGAAAAGGTAATCATTTTCATTTGGAGTATCGCAAAGAAAAAACTACCCATATTTCGCAACATAGCAAATCTGGGAATCACTATATCATCATTGGAGTGTGTGATGTGTCTTGCAGATTAAATATGAAGAACATGTGCATGTTCATGGAGTGTAGGTGGCATAGAAACTTGGGCTATGATTTGCAATTGGTTGAATATTGGAACATTGCATGGACTAGATGTGGCATCCTCAATTTCTTAGGCTGAATCTAGTATGCCGTTGTCTCCCCTTTGATGATTTATAAACTTTTTTTAGTATGTTTTTTAAAGAAAAAAAATGGTACCAATACCCTCTTCTAGATCAACAATTTTAAGAAGATAAGGTCCAACGGTTTTTCATGATTAAGATTTATTTTGTGATTGCATTTTTTCAAAGAAATAGAAGTTTTAATGATTCTTTTAGTAGAAGAGTGTAGCATAAAGCTAGCATATTTCCTCTTTTTTCATTTGCATCTTCCTTGTCAATTTAACAAGTCAAAAGGCAAATTCTATATAGCTATTTCTTTGCTAAGGGTTTTCATCTCTATTATTCCATGATGATTGTGCCACATGATTCGACTAACGCAACCCCGAAAGTCAAAATGAAGAAACGAAGTCCGGAGCTCATGTCTAGAAATGTTGCTTGCCAGCATCCATAACCAAGAAAGGGAGAAAGTATTTCCCACCAAAAATAGAGACGATAGCACTAAATATTGTGAGTTTTACTGAGTGAATAATAAGACCATTAATGGGCATAGCCCGTTCTCGAGACGGACGAAGCAAGAATCAAAGGAGAGGGAAGGGAGGCCACCAGTCCCATCAACCCTTGAAGAGACACATTTAATTAATGTTGGGTGACAACATAACAAGTTAAGCACTTCAGACAAATATCAAAAACACAAATTTCGAAAAACTCACAAAAGCTTCAAAAAAACGTAAATCAAAAGAACACGATATTTAACATGGTTCGGTCAAGGTGACCTACATCCATGGGCGAACGAGAGAGAGAGAGAGAGAGAGAGAGAGAGAGAGAGAGGAGAGAGAGAGAGAGAGAGAGAGAGAGAGGATTTTATTAACTTTCTGGAACGATTACAAGCACTCAAAATTGTAGCTCACTTTGAGCTCTCACAAAAATCTAGCTAGCAATTTACAATGATGGGGGTATGAGCCTATTTATATTTGAGGGATCAAACCTAAAACCCTAATGGGCTAAGCCCATTGGCCAATAGGCCCATGAACGGTGACAACTAATCACAATCCGCCATGCAACTGATGGGTTTTGAGCATAATATTCAATCCTATATGTGCATGCAACCCTAATTAAAGATCTATGTTTTCTCTAATTAAACATACAATAATGAAGAACAAAGTGTAAACCCTAGATCTGTATAGTATAATCAAAAATCACTTAAGAAGGGTTATGATACATAACTTTAAGATTGTTATTGTAAATAATCTTGAATCCTTTCTTAAGAGACCTTTGGTAGCAAGCACCACAAGTGTCGCGCCTCTAATGGTTCACAAACAAACCAAGCAACCAACGAAAACTGTATATATATATATATATATATATATATATATATATATATATATATATATATATATATATATATATATAGAGAGAGAGAGAGAGAGAGTAATGGAAGAGAAATTTTGGCTCTTAAGGTCTTAGAGGAGTCATAGCCAAAATTTAACCATGAGGAGGGTTTATATAGGTATTAAGAAGGTATTGGATAAGGCAGGTGTATCCAAGATAACCATAATCCCTTAACTTCCTCCCTAAGTCATCAAAGACATCCTTCGATCCCAAAAAAACCCTAGAACACTCTAGAATTCGTCCCCCCCCCCCCTCCTTAGCGAGGTTTTAGAATGCTCAATGCTTAATTGTTAAACATTGTCACCTTTAGTCCTTGCACTTTTAATTAATTCCAAATTAATTTCTGATTAAATATTAATTAAACAACATGATTTCTAATTAATTTATATCCATAATACAGTAATAAATCATTTATTTTGATTTCTAATTAAATTATTAACCAGGTAATAAATTAATAAATCAATCTTCTCTCTCTAAAAGTTATCCTATTTAATTGCCAGGTTTGAAGGAAACTATAACAACGTGAATTTCAAAAACAATTTTTCGTTTTTCAAACACAATAAACCCATATAATATTCTCAGAATCTCACGTTTATCAAATGTCATCACAATAAAACATATCCCAGAATCTCAAAACATAATCTTCTGCCAGTGTATACAAATCATGTCGATGCCTTCCCACAATCATCAGTAGTACCTGAAACACATATCACATAACACGGTAAGCACGAAGCTTAGTGAGTTCCCCAAAATACCACATACAACACATAAGTCACTCAAGGCTATAAATCGGTATGACCCTCCGATCAATATGTCTCAGTGAGACCCTCCAGTCCTATAGCTCGTTAGACCCTTTGGTCCGGTCTAAATCGTTGGACCCTCCGGTCCAGTCTGATCGAGGACTCTCTGGCCTCATAAGTCGTTGGAGCCTCTGGTCCGGTCTATATATCACATAGCATACATATATCACAATGCACATAATCTCAAACATACACATAACACATAAGACCCTCCGGTCTACACATATATACCACTCTATGTAACGTATAGTGAGAAGACTCATCTTGGGTAACTCGAATAATCTCGAACTCGAAATACTGATCTAGCCTCCGCCTAATCACATAAACTTTCCTCTAATTAACAACGGCTCTCAAAGGCTAGATTAATCCCCCACTATAATCCTTTAGAAGGTTAAAAGACCATTTTACCCCTCCAAGACCCAAAAGTCCAAATGTTGACCAAACCCTAAAAGTCAACGAAGTTAACTAAGTAAATGGTCCGACTTTGACCAGACTCGCCGAGTGCACTTGTGGGACTCGGCGAGTTCATGTGTATCCTCTGAATCCTTCTAAAGCCCCACTCGACTCGTTGAATTAACCTCCTAACTCAACGGGTTACCACTGGTCACGAATCACGGGGCAACCCGATCCGACTCGTCGAGTCTTCTCATGGGCTCGACGAGTTTCCTCCATGGCAACACTCATTCGACCTTCTGAGGTCTGATCTGTTTCTCTAACTTATAGATCTGACCTTTTAACATCCAAAAGTCACGTAAAGGTCCAATCATTATGTCAATGCATTACACATCTAGCTCTATTTGATGAAATAACCCTTACAATGGAGTCCTAGGCTCAATACTTTCATATAACAGCATAAAGCTCGGTTTCTGGGACTCTCTGGACCTCTCAAGGTCCAGATCTAATGTCAATTCCTCAATGGGACTCTACATTCTCCATAACTCAACTAAAGAAGGGGTAAAGAAACCCTAGATTCATGAGATCTACTATATACACCAAAATAGGCATGGATTCATACCTCCAGCTGCAACCTTTGATGGAATGATAGCATATCTAAGCCCCTTAATCAGCCTAGCTTGAATCCCCTCCTTCTTCCTTGAAAGAATGCAGTAATGGTGATGAAATTATCTCATTCCCTCACTCTCTAAGCTTTCTGGTTTGCTAGGGTTCTCTCCTCTGAAAGGTAGCCGCAATGGGAGACCTTAAGTGCCTTTAAATAGGTCCCAAACCCCAGAAATTAGGGTTTCTCTACTATGACATCCCCATTTTCATGGCCAGAAAAGACCGATTTTGTTTATGCTTTGTTTAAAAATCAGAGTAACATTTTAAATAAAAGTGTTGCGGAATTTGTCCCAAAACAAAATATGATAAAGATTTATCAAAAGCATTTCCGTAGAAATGTATTTCATTAAAAAGACTCGGGATGTCATGTTCTATACAGATCACAAGCATAAAAAATACAACATGGGCCTTACTACATTATTCCGTATTTACAGGCCTAAAATTCCTTAATCTCTCATCCCAAGACATCACATCTATGCTCATGCGCCACTACCTGTAATACAAGAAACTGAGTGGGTCAGGCTTGGGAGTCTGGTGAGCACATAGGG